GCTGAGGTAAGAATGCAATTATCTACTCCAGACGAGAGAAAAGTAGTCACAAAACGCTATTAAAAACTCTATGATAAACTACGCTATCAACGTTAGCGCTCACAGAACAGAACTTTGTGATTTTCCTGTTTCTGTGTGTAGTTTTTATCCACCCTATTAGGTTGAAATGATCTCCATTCTAGACTGGTCCTAGACTTATTCAGGACTAGTTCTAGACTGGCCTGGCCTTATCCATCCGTACACTCCGCTCAATCATCATTTCACTGCATGTAACGTCTGGGTCTGGTCCCTGTGTTTGCGACCGACCAATCAGAGAGCACGGGAGGCGGGTGTTGTAGTGAGATGTGGGTGACGTCAGGAGTTTGCGTCGAACGGGCAGGTTGTAGTTTGGCGAAGAATGCGATAGTAAAGTATTCTGGTCTGGTTCTATCAAGAAATTGAAGCCGGAACAAGAGGAATGTTTAGCAATTGTAATCGCTGCATAGATTGTGGCGCTACTCCCCACGGGCTCCGTTAGCACCAAAGGAGATGGCTAAAGCTAGGCTAAATGCTAAATGCTAACAACTCACTCGGGCTCATTACATACGCCACGGTAAACTCAGATCCAATCGTTTCAATCTGCAAAAGGAGTTAAGCCCACCCACCTGTTAACGGAGCTTAATGGAGAAAGTCCAGACCTTAGTACGAAATTTAATTTGTACTATGGTGTGGTGCGACCAGGCTAGTTCTAGACCGGTCCAAAGACTGGAAATGCAGTGTTATAAATGTCCAAATGTACAAATGTCCATAAATGTCGAGTGTCCTGGATCTTCACCACTGTCTTTGGACCCTCCTGAATCAGCAAGGAACAACTCTGAGAAAAAAAGACTGTAGAACGAGGACAGAGGCCACTCAATGCACGACTCAGATTGTAGAACGAGGACGAGAACGAGGTTATGAGCTTTACCACTGATGAGGTGTTGCCATAGTAATTCTCCAGACTCCTACTACACAACCACCATCATTCTGCTGTTGTTAAGACACCACCATGACGTCTTGCTGCAGTCTCCAACCTGCAAAGTCAGTGTGTAAGTGTGTGAGTGTGTGAGTGTGGGTGTGTGTGTGTGTGTGTGTGAGAGTGTGTGTGTGTGTGTGTGTGTGTGTGTGAGTGGGTGTGAGTGTGTGTGTGTCTGTGTGTGTGTGTGTGTGTGTGTGTGTGAGAGTGTGTCTGTGTGTGTGTGTGTGTGTGTGTGTGTGAGAGAGAGTGCTGTATCTTACTGTGTCCTTAATACAGATTCATAATGACAACAATAACATTTAAAAATGTTTCATAACGTACCGACATTGGGCGGCACGGTGGCAGAGTGGTTAGTACTCTCGCTTCTTAGCAAGAAGGTCCTGGGTTTGAATCCCGGTTGGAACAGAGTGGAGTTTACATGTTCTCCCCGTGTCTGCGTAGGTTTCCTCCGGGTGTTCCGGTTTCCCCTACCACTAAAAACATGCACAATAGGTCTCAATGTAAATGAGAGAGTGAATGGATGGTGTTGAAGCTGATGGACCAGTGTGTTCTGGACTCGCTTCTGTCATCACCGTGTGTGTGGAGAATGGAAAAACTATCTGAACTCTGAACATTGTAAAGCGCTTTGGGTGACCTTGGTCTGTGAAATGCACTATATACAGTAAATAAACATTACTTACTTACTTACATAATAAAACAGTAAAAATCCATTCACATTTCATTTTCAGGACTGCAGCTCTCACGCTGACGTCTTGGCCTCCTCTGAACCTCAGCGATCGTCCCTGTTCCGTCTCGGCCTCCTCTGAACCTCAGCGATCGTCAGTGTTCCGTCTCGGTCTCCTCTGAACCTCAGCGATCGTCCATGCTCTGTCTCAGCCTCCTCTGAACCTCAGCGATTGTCCGTGTTCCATCTCGGCCTCCTCTGAACCTCAGCGGTCGTCAGTGTTCCGTCTCGGCCTCCTCTGAACCTCAGCGATCGTCCATGCTCTGTCTCAGCCTCCTCTGAACCTCAGCGATTGTCCGTGTTCCATCTCGGCCTCCTCTGAACCTCAGCGATCGTCCGTGTTCCGTCTCGGCCTCCTCTGAACCTCAGCGATCGTCAGTGTTCCGTCTCGGCCGCCTCTGAACCTCCGCGATCGTCAGTGTTCCGTCTCGGCCTCCTCTGAACCTCAGCAATCGTCCATGTTCCGTTTCGGCATCCTCTGAACCTCAGCAATTGTCCGTGTTCCGTCTCGGCCTCCTCTGAACCTCAGCGATTGTCAGTGTTCCGTCTCGGTCTCCTCTGAACCTCAGCGATCGTCTATGTTCTGTCTCGGCCTCCTCTGAACCTCAGCGATTGTCCATGTTCCGTCTCAGCCTCCTCTGAACCTCAGCGATCGTCAGTGTTCCGTCTCGGCCTCCTCTGAACCTCAGCGATTGTCAGTGTTCCATCTCGGCCTCCTCTGAACCTCAGCAATTGTCCATGTTCCGTCTCGGCCTCCTCTGAACCTCAGCAATCGTCCATGTTCCGTTTCGGCATCCTCTGAACCTCAGCAATTGTCCGTGTTCCGTCTCGGCCTCCTCTGAACCTCAGCGATCGTCAGTGTTCCGTCTCGGTCTCCTCTGAACCTCAGCGATCGTCTATGTTCTGTCTCGGCCTCCTCTGAACCTCAGCGATTGTCCATGTTCCGTCTCAGCCTCCTCTGAACCTCAGCGATCGTCAGTGTTCCGTCTCGGCCTCCTCTGAACCTCAGCGATTGTCAGTGTTCCATCTCGGCCTCCTCTGAACCTCAGCAATTGTCCATGTTCCGTCTCGGCCTCCTCTGAACCTCAGCAATCGTCCATGTTCCGTTTCGGCATCCTCTGAACCTCAGCAATTGTCCGTGTTCCGTCTCGGCCTCCTCTGAACCTCAGCGATCGTCAGTGTTCCGTCTCGGTCTCCTCTGAACCTCAGCGATCGTCTATGTTCTGTCTCGGCCTCCTCTGAACCTCAGCGATTGTCCATGTTCCGTCTCAGCCTCCTCTGAACCTCAGCGATCGTCAGTGTTCCGTCTCGGCCTCCTCTGAACCTCAGCGATTGTCAGTGTTCCATCTCGGCCTCCTCTGAACCTCAGCAATTGTCCATGTTCCGTCTCGGCCTCCTCTGAACCTCAGCGATCGTCAGTGTTCCGTCTCGGCCTCCTCTGAACCTCAGCGATTGTCTGTGTTTCGTCTCGGCCTCCTCTGAACCTCAGCGATCGTCAGTGCTCCATCTCGGCCGCCTCTGAACCTCCGCGATCGTCAGTGTTCCGTCTCGGCCTCCTCTGAATCTCAGCAATCGTCCATGTTCCGTCTCGGCCTCCTCTGAACCTCAGCGATTGTCAGTGTTCCGTCTCGGTCTCCTCTGAACCTCAGCGATCGTCAGTGTTCCGTCTCGGTCTCCTCTGAACCTCAGCGATCGTCAGTGTTCCGTCTCGGCCTCCTCTGAACCTCAGCATTCGTCCATGTTCCGTCTCGGTCTCCTCTGAACCTCAGCGATCGTCAGTGTTCCGTCTCGGCCTCCTCTGAACCTCAGCGATCGTCCGTGTTCCGTCTCGGCCTCCTCTGAACCTCAGCGATCGTCAGTGTTCCGTCTCGGCCTCCTGTGAACCTCAGCGATCGTCCATGTTCCGTCTCGGCCTCCTCTGAACCTCAGCGATCGTCAGTGTTCCGTCTCGGCCTCCTGTGAACCTCAGCGATCGTCCATGTTCCGTCTCGGCCTCCTCTGAACCTCAGCGATCGTCCGTGTTCCGTCTCGGCCTCCTCTGAACCTCAGCGATTGTCAGTGTTCTGTCTCGGCCTCCTCTGAACCTCAGCGATCGTCTATGTTCCGTTGATTCCATCTCTTTGATAAACATTGCTTCCTTCTTGTTTATGGTTTTGTGTTTTTACTCGTTCCAGAGGTGGAGGCAAGGTGACGATGGAAGCGGGAGCAAGAGGAAGAGCGTGGGCGTCTCAAAGACACAGCATCAACCGCAGAAATGTTGACAAAGAGTGAAAGCCTGTGTCTGTCTCCTATGGTTACGGATCAAATGTATGTTTAGAAAGCCTATGCCAACTGTTTGTTTAGACCAATCAAGTCACAATTTCCTGTAGAGGCAATTGTCAAGCAGGGCCAGAAGGCAAGAAAATACTAAAGGAGACAAGACATGCTCCATTCTTGCAAAATAGAAGAATCTAGATAGATAGATGGATGGATAGACACTTGCATAAAAATGCAAGTACAAATTAACATAAATTAACATAAACACTATTCTAAAAGTTATGTTATGGTCCCATTTCTATTTATTCTTAAAACACAAGAGTATGAATCTATTAGGACTTTACACAGCTGTCCATTCACCTCCACAGATCAGAGAATCAAACCGTTCAAACACAGTAAATGCAATAATGGAAAACACAGATGACCAATGTCCATAAATCTTTACAAAATGTGTTTTTCATTATATGAACAAATGTGGAGTGTCCTGGATCATCACCAGTCTCTTTAGAGCCTCCTGCATCCTGGTTTTATGCAGAGGCTTTTCTTCATGGCAAGAAAATGATGATCGCATGTTTTACGTTGGTTTTACAAAAACATGATCCATTCTTGCATAATGGAAGAATCTTGATTCTGTAGATCATTGAGCCCCGTGTGAGGAGTTCAGATTTACAGCAGAAGAAGGTATCATAGATTTAAGCAGTGTGTAATGCTGGGTTTTCTGAATTCTAAGATAGATGATTTTGAATACAGATGTCTCCCTAATTTTAAAGGACCCATTATTACGCTTTTTGACTTTTCTCTGCTTTTACCATGATTACAGTAATATTTAGCCTTCATACAAATGCCCAGAGTAGGGTTTTCATTGATTCCTTCAAGATTGAGTTAGAGAGAGATCTTTCTCCTTCACCCTCGAGATGCAGCGAAACACCCGGGTCCACATCTGTGACGATTTCCACATTGATGACTAATATGACGCGCAGAAGCCTGTATAGTTTTCACTGTAGTGAAAACTATACAGAAGAAATGAGCTCTTTGTTTTCAAAATTATACTTAGCTCCCAGGACCAGTTCCCGAGACCAGTTCCTGAGTTCAGCCAAGTCCAGCTCCCGAGACCAGCTCCCAGGACCAGCTCCCGAGACCAACTCCCGAGACCAGCTCCCAGGACCAGTTCCCGAGACCAGCTCCCGAGACCAGCTCCCGAGACCAGCTCCCAGGACCAGTTCCCGAGACCAGCTCCTGAGTTCAGCCAAGTCCAGCTCCCGAGACCAGCTCCCAGGACCAGCTCCCGAGTCCAACTCCCGAGACCAGCTCCCAGGACCAGCTCCCGAGTCCAACTCCCGAGACCAGCTCCCAGGACCAGCTCCCGAGTCCAACTCCCGAGACCAGCTCCCAGGACCAGGTCCCGAGACCAGCTCCCGAGACCAGCTCCCAGGACCATTTCCCGAGACCAGCTCCTGAGTTCAGCCAAGTCCAGCTCCCGAGACCAGCTCCCAGGACCAGCTCCCGAGACCAACTCCCGAGACCAGCTCCCAGGACCAGTTCCCGAGACCAGCTCCCGAGACCAGCTCCCGAGACCAGCTCCCAGGACCAGTTCCCGAGACCAGCTCCCGAGACCAGCTCCCGAGACCAACTCCCGAGACCAGCTCCCAGGACCAGTTCCCGAGACCAGCTCCCGAGACCAGCTCCCGAGACCAGCTCCCGAGACCAGCTCCCGAGACCAGCTCCCGAGACCAGCTCCCGAGACCAGCTCCCAGGACCAGTTCCCGAGACCAGCTCCCGAGACCAGCTCCCGAGACCAGCTCCCGAGACCAGCTCCCGAGACCAGCTCCCAGGACCAGTTCCCGAGACCAGCTCCCGAGACCAGCTCCCAGGACCAGTTCCCGAGACTCACAGACAGAGGAGCAGACTCTGGATCAGCCTCTTTGAGTTGAGGTGACGTCACTTCTATGCAAGACATGGCTCTAATCTAAGTTTTGAGTCAAATTTGTATCACACATGTGCATAGGATGGACTGTGAAACATAAAGAAAAGGGACCTTTAACGATCTCAGAGAAAACTAAAACTCAAAAACTAAAATAACAGATCATTTTTTTCTATATGTTCTATGTGTAACACTCAGATCTGTTTTAACATTAATTCCAAATCCATTTCTTGCCTATTGTCTCCCAAACCCCACCGACAAACCGGGGCGAACTTCTGGAGGTGCGCACACAATCCACCATCTGTCTCATCTCCCCTTGTTTTTTTTGCAATTCGGAATTTCAAAGAACGGAAGAAAAACAATTGGGAATCCCTAAAGGCCCGCTCTGGCTCCAAATGGGAAACCGCTGGCACAAAGAACGCCCAAAAACAAAGCCGTGATTGTCTCGAAAAAGCTCCGGGTTTCTCTCTCCGCACCTGTTCCCCATCATCCCAGAGTCTTATAGATATTTAATGAGCGAGGTGAAGGAGACGATCCAAGGTAGTAGTGATGTATTGACATTCTCAGCACTGGTCCGTGACGCCTGCTCTGTAATTGACAGCATAAATGAATAAGTTGGAATAATCAGGTGGAAAGGTTACTCTCCAAATGTGATTCAGCAGCAGATGCGGAGGAATGATGAGGGGGTGACACCGCAAGAGGAAAAAATCTTATACCAGTCCTGTGGAAATGTAGCCATAGCTCTAGGTTTATGCTGCTGCTTTCTTAGTCATCCGTTTAGATATGATGAGATAGTTCTTTATTGCCCTACTGTGGAATAAAAAGCAAGGAGATGTGATCGTCCAGATTGCACATATCAAGCTGCGTTTGAACGAGATTGTCTGCCAGAGCTGAACTCTCTGACCCCGCATGGAAAGGCCCTGTGTACGGAGGTACTGAGGGTACCAGAAATTCGGTTCAATTGGATCTATAGGACATGGCCAGTGTTTTGATCTGCTACATTGCTCACATTTTAGCAGATCAAAGCACATTTTATAGGTGGCACGGTGGCTGAGTGGATAGCACTCTTGCCTCTCAGCAAGAAGGTCCTGGGTTCGAATCCCGGTCGGACCAGGGCCTTTCTGAGTGGAGTTTGCATGTTCTCCCCGTGTCTGCGTAGGTTTCCTCCGGGTACTCCGGTTTCCCCTTCCACTAAAAATATGTACAATAGGTCTGGCATGCGCCTCCTGTACTGGCGACCCTGCTCCTATCTCTGTGTGGAGTGAGAGACAAATGTAAACTGCTTTGAGACTCAGATCTGCGGTGAAAAGGTGGTATATACATAAAGAAAGATTATTTACTACTTACTTACATAAATTGTCCCTTTTTGGCAAATGTGTTTTTCTCTTACGTCTGTGGCTTCTCTTCCCACATTCCATTGGCCAAGGCCGAAGTTGACTGATATCGAGACTCTCTCATCTACAACAAGCCTCTCACTACCCAGTTCTGGACTGCCCTCCCCCCAGCTTCTCTCCTCTCCCCCTCCCTACTCCCTTCTCCCTCCCTCCTCGCTCCCTCCAAGTATTTCCTGCTCACCCCCCCTCACCTAGCCCCCTCTGACGGCCCACATTGGCGAAGGGTGGTCTGAGTTTATTTCCATAATAAAAAACGTCCATGTTTTATACATAACATACTGTGTTTATCCAAACTGTCTGTGAAATGTATGTTACTGCTCTCTGCTGTTTATTCTACTGTTTGTCACACACTGGGGTAGTCTTGCAGTTTTTCCAATGTGGTTTTACTACAAATGGCAAACACATGAATCTGAATCTGAATCTGAAGCAGGATCTAATTTATAAATCTCAGCAGACTTTAGATGTTTATGAGTTAGCCTCAGAATCAAGGGTAGTCCCACAGGTTATAAATCTCCAACTCGCAGCTGGACTTTCATTTCCTTGAGAAAGTTATTTTGATTAAGAAAGAAAATGCCAGAGATATCAGATAAATGCTTATGTAATATTATAGTAATACTAATAACACAAGCTAAAGTAACTAGTTAATTATCATCAGAACAGGTGAGTGGCACGTGTATCGCCTCAGCAGTTCTTGTTGTACAGTCTGACAGCAGCAGGGAGGAAGTAAGTGCCTGTGAAGCCTCTCAGTGGTAGTTTCAGTGGTTGTGTTGAAGTTGGCGTGTTGAAAGTAGAGTGTGGAAGATCAAGAAAGCAGTGGGAATGTACGGAGCTCTGCCAGGTTTGCTTTAACTTCTCTCAGCGGCAGAGAAGCGTCGGACAAAGTGAACGATAATTAAAGTGCAGGAGAAATGTTCAGAATATCTACTTGTCGTATGATTGGCTTTCAATGTTGTATTTTGTGTCTCAAAGTCTCCTTTTCAGATGCACTTGCTTTGAAATCGTATAATGTTGTGAGAAAGGGTTCTACAACAGTTATCTGGACAGAAGCACACAACAGACAAGGGATTAGGTTTTTACTTGCATTTAACAAGGAGGCGATGTCCTTATGGCTGGCAAGGAGGCGATGTCCTTATGGCTTGCAAGGAGGCGATGTCCTTATGGCTGGCAAGGAGGCGATGTCCTTATGGCTGGCAAGGAGGCGATGTCCTTATGGCTGGCAAGGAGGCGATGTCCTTATGGCTGGCAAGGAGGCGATGTCCTTATGGCTTGCAAGGAGGCGATGTCCTTATGGCTGGCAAGGAGGCGATGTCCTTATGGCTGGCAAGGAGGCGATGTCCTTATGGCTGGCAAGGAGGCGATGTCCTTATGGCTGGCAAGGAGGCGATGTCCTTATGGCTGGCAAGGAGGCCTGTGCGTCCTACACAGCCAAAAGCAAAGTCCTGCTCGATGCTCTTCAGGCGGCTTATTTATATCAGAACAGAAACCCTCACACATGGAAAAGCCCCAAAATCGGTGAAGCTACACATTAACCACTTGTTGGACATTGTCTTGCAACATTGTTTTCTCAAAACACCCCAATTGTGGATAATTATTAGTTGACAGCCAAAAAATGGTCAGGGGTTTCTCAGCTGATTCAGACTAATGTTGGTGTTCTGAGTCTGAATATCACATGCATTTGTCTCTATCAGGTCAACTTTGTGAGACACAGCCATAGTGTTACGGATTATGTACGTCTACGTTTTTATGAATTCTGCTTATCAAATTTGATGGAGTAAATAAAAACTGAATGACTTTGGATACGTTGACTTTTATTTCTTGAGGAAAATGGAAAAAACGTCAAGGGTTTCTCAGCTGATGATCCGCAGAAATTTGATTTTTACGCAAAATCGATTAATAAAAAATATTTCTGTAGCAAAAAATCCTGACCTGATTGAGCAAAACCAAGGTCATTTTCAGACTCAGAGCATCAACATTAGTCTAATTCAGCTGAAAACCCTGGACTATTTTAAAAAAATATGTTTTTATTACCCAGTGTTATATTCACACTCATTTAAATCATAACCTAAACAATTCCACTACCAAATGTGTTTGGATGCAATTCCTTTACTGCAAAAAGTGGTTGAACAATAAGTCAAAGATTGCTCAAATTTGGCAAAAAGTATTTCAATTTGAGCACATTCTGACTGTCTTTAAACACAATTTGACAATGGGACAAAGCAAAATGATCTATAGATAAAGAATCAGTTTTAATAATAATAGTAATAATACATTTTATTTATAATGCACTTTACATTTGACACCAAATCTCAAAGTGCTACAAACAGCAGCATAAATAAAAGCAAACACATAAAATCAGATAAAAGACTATAAAAAAATTAGCAGTACGCTTTAGTAAAAAGATGGGTTTTGAGTCCCTTTTTGAAAGCTTCCACCGTCTGTGGAGCCCTGAGGTGGTCCGGGAGGGTGGTCCACAGACGGGGAGCAGCGGCCTCGAAGGCCCGGTCCCCCATTTTCTTGAGCCGTGTCCTGGGCGGGAGCAGACGGTGCTGTTGGCCTGACCGGGTTCTGCCTGAGGAGTGTAGAGTGAGGAGGTCAGTGAGGTAGGTGGGGGCATCACCGTGGAGACAGTGGTGGGTGTGCAGGAGGATCTTGTATTCTATACGGAGGTGAATGGGGAGCCAGTGGAGGGTGCGAAGGATGGGGGTGATGTGCTCATGCTTCCGCACCCTCATCAGGACCCTGGCCGCGCTGTTTTGTACGTACTGGAGCTTTTGAAGGCTCCTGCCTGGGATCCCGAAGAGGAGTGCGTTGCAGTAATCCAACCTGGAGGAGACAAAGGCATGGACGAGCTTCTCTGCAGCCGGGAGAGAGAGAGAAGAGCGGAGTTTTGAAATATTACGGAGGTGGAAGAAGGAAGTTTTGCAGATGTGATGTATGTGATTTCCGAAGGAAAGGTGGGGGTCAAACTTGACCCCGAGATTGGTTACAGAGGGAGAGAGGGGAATGCTGTGGCCAAAGAGAGAGATTGAGGTGATGGGAGAAGAGTGAAGTTGATGGGGAATACCAGTTTGAATGGCTTCTGTTTTTGAGCCATTCAGCTGCAGGAAGTTTTGCCTCATCCATGCCCCTATCTCCTCCAGGCAGGAGGTAAGACAGGAGAGAGATGCAGAGGGAGGGGTGGATGGAGTGACTTTGAGATAAAGTTGTGTGTCGTCAGCATAGCAATGGAAGTGAATTCCATGCCTGCCGACGACACCCGAGGGGAAGCATGTACATGGTGAAGAGGGTGGGACCGAGCACGGAGCCCTGGGGGACCCCACAGGTGACAGAGTGGGGGCGAGATTTAGCGTCCCCCAGAACCACATGCTCGGTTCGGTCAGTGAGGTAAGAGTGAAACCAGTGGAGAGCAATGTGGGAGAGGCCAATGTGGTGCTGGAGACGATGTAAAAGGATGTTATGGTCAATGGTGTCGAACGCAGCAGTGAGGTCGAGAAGAATGAGGATGGAAGTGGAACCGGAGTCAGAGGCCATGAGAAGGTCATTGGTCACTCTGATGAGCGCTGTGTCTGTGCTGTGGGAGGGGCGGAAACCAGATTGGAATTTTTCATAGAGACTA